GCCCTCCCTGGGCCCCTCCTGCCCCCAGCCCCCACCCTGCTTGGGCCCCTCCTGCCACCTGCCCTCATCCCCGCCTGCCCCCTCCCACCCTGCCCGGGGCCCTCCTGCCTCCCACCTGGTGGGATTGAGGGGCACCAGTAGAGGGAGATAGGGAAATATTATCCCCATTTCATGGTGGGGAAACTGAGGCCCAGAGCGAGGCAGCGACTAGCCCAAGGTCCCTGGGAGGAGCCCAGGCTGCAAAAACTCCTCGATCCCCTTCACCTCCCAGCTCAACCACCCCACCCCCCGCATCCATCCAGAGGACCGCCCCCGCCCCCCCAATCCTGCCTGCACACTGCCACCAGGCATTCCAGAGTGCACTGGAGCAGGAAAACACAAAGCACCCCTCGGGGAGCACCTGGGGCTGTGACCCACAACCACCCCCACCCCAGCCCGGCAGACAGGCCCAGCACTTGCCCAGCCAGGCAAACAATCGGCCCTTGTTTCTCCCAGCCACTTGATTGATGAAGGTGGGGTGGGGGGAGTGGAGGGAGGGGCAGCACCCGTCAGTAGCTGGTACTGGGGCCTCGGGGAGGATCCCGGGATCCCTTCCCCCTCTGCTGGGCATGGACAAGGCTCTGAAGAGCAAAGTTTGTGCTGGAAAGTGGCAGGCAGGTGTCCAGCAGTGAAGGGGTTAAATGCTCAATAAACAGTCACTCAGGCACGGCCACCCCATAGGAGCTCAGCCTCCAACTGCCATGGGGCTGGGATTTCACCCACCATCTTCCCAGCTGCCTGGATCAGCCTCCCCCTCTCCAGCCTCAGGCTTCCCTGGATCTGATCCTGCCTGGGCCTGATCCAGCCTGGGCCCAGCCTTGCAGCAATTGGCCCCCGGGGGATCCCTCAGCTCAGGGGGACTCGGTACCCACAACGTGTCCCGCAGCCTGCTGACTGCTGCCCCTCTGCATCACTGCACCGATCCCCCCCTTGGCCGGGACTACTTCCCAACCCCCAGACAGTTCCCAGCAGCCTGCCAGGATGGTTCCTCCTCCCCTCATCCCAGCCCAGGGGGCTCCCCGAAGAGACCCTGGCCCCCCGGCAGTGTTAAGCCTCCCCGCACCCCCTGCAGGCCCTGCTGCTATGTGCTAGCGGTTCTGGGAACCCCCCACTACACGAGCCAGGGGCGGGTCCCGGCGCCCAGGTCTTGTCTATCTCCAGGGAGGGCAGTGGCCTGGTCAGAGCGGGGCAAGGTCCCCGGATGGCATGGCCCATGCTGCCCAATAGGAGCAGAGAGGCTGGTGGGTAGCCTCCGGCTTGGTCCTCCCAGTGCCACAGCAAGGGGGCAGGGAAAGACCCCTTTTGCCCCCCAGGGTCTGACCCCTGCCCAATGGGGATCAAGAGCCTCCCTCTGTGGGGATCAATGGAAGGGGGGCCATGTCACCCCGAGCCCCACAGGGGCCCCTCCCAAAAGCACACTGGCTGGGCCACTTTGGGTGCCTTGGCATCGCCTAGTCCTTGGGGCCCCTCACCGTTGGGGCTGGCAGAACCATTGGGGGCAGTGGCCTCACCCCGTGGCAGCCTGCTCACCCCACACTGTTCTTGTGCCCCTTGGCCAGCCCCCTGTGAGTCAGATGTGGTGTCACCCCAGCCTGTCATGGGACCCCAGGCAGCCTGGGGCCAAGAGATCTGGGCTCCACGAGGCCCCATGCCCTGCCTCAGAGCAGGGGAGATATGAACAGGGCGTCCCGTCTCCACTGAACGGGGGGCAGACCCCAAACACTTCTGACCCTGCCCAACACACTTGGCTCCCATGGGGAAGTGCTGGGCTGGGCTGCCCACTCTCCGCACTGGGCACCACACAGGATGCCCCCAAACAGACCAGGCCAGGGGAGGGTGGTCAGAGCAGGGCTCCATCGCTGTGACAAGGCGCTGTGGGGAGCAGCTCCATGGTGCCCAACTCAAAGGCCAGGCTTGAAACCCCTGCAGGGCACGGGGGGCTGGCAACCCCTGCACAGCCAGGGCGGGCGCTCCGGGGTCAGTAGGGAAGCCTGCCCACCCCCCTAAGTTAAATCACCCCCAGCTCAGCCTGGCCGGAGCACTTACGTTGATGTCTTTGCCGGCCCAGTTGCATTCCTCCCTCCACTCCACAGGCGCCGGCCAGTGGATCTGCGGGAAGAGAGCGGGACAGATCAGGGAGAGGAATCTCCCTCTCCCCCCATGGGCCCCTCAATCCCAACCCGCAGCCCCCCGCCAGCCCAGCCCCGAGTTCCTGCATGAACTGTGGTGCTGGGCTCGGGAGGGTCAGCCTGTGGAGCGTGAGGCCGAGACCCTCACACCAGGAACTGAGGGGCAGCATCCCTGGAGGCAGAATGAGGCCCCTGCCCTGACAATGCGCCCCACCATGCCCCATGTAGAGGGGCTCCCAATTCCCCTCTCCATCCCATGCCCTGGAACAGCAGCAGCCAGAGCAGCCTGGGGAAGTGGCTCGAGCGTGCCAGTCCTCAGCACCTCTTTGGGCAGGGCTGTGCCTGCCCAGCTGAGCACCAGTACGCTCAAGACATGCAACACAAGACACACGGTGCCTTGGGAGCAGGGGCTCCTCCAGCAGCTGTGGTGGGGACTCAAGGTCCCAGCAGCGAAGGCATCAGCCGACCCCCCCCGCGGCTTCCAAGCTGGACGGTCGTTACGGGCCATTTCACGGGGGAGGTGAGGCGAGGCAGCTGGAATGCCAGCAATGTCGCCTCTCGAGTGGGCGCCTCTGCCCACTGCCCCTCCCCACGGTGGGTGCCCGGATCCCTCCGCCCTCCGCTGTGCAGCGGTCACCTTCTTGTCCTGCTTGCTGATGTTGTCCAGGCTCAGGGAGGCCAGGTGGTTCTTGCCGCCCACGAAGAGCCGGCCCCGCTCCTCGTCCAGGAGCAGCGCCTCGTAGCAGCAGGAGCGCTCCAGCCCATAGGTGCGCAGCCCATGGCGCGCTTTTAACTCTGCAGGGAGACATGGGGGCTGGGATCAGGCCGGCTCTGCCCTGGCTCTCAGCTTCTCTCCGGGATCACAGGCCAAGGGAATGGAATGCAAAGACCCCGGGCCTGGGTCCTCAAAGGTATTTAGACACCCACCCTCCCATGGGAGTTAGGCACCTCTGTGGATCTGGGCTTTGGAGATGGCCAGTGTCAGGGACGCCAGCACAGGCCCAGAGAACAGCGCCGCCCCAAGCCCCACACGCAGATCATCTGGTTCCTGGCACCTGCCGCACAGGACTTGCCCTGGGTGCCACTGCGGTCAGTTTCAAACAGCGCTGGGGGCCCGATTTTTCAGAGCAGGGCAGCCAGCATGCAGCCATGGGCACTGCCCCTCTGAGAGCTGGGCCACCGGGGGTGTGTCTCCGCTGCAGTGAAAGAGCCGCAATGTGGCTGGGACTGGCCCGGGGCAGCTGGCTTGGGCTTGGGCTGCGGGGCTGGAAAATTGCGGTGTAGGCATTTGGGCTGGGGCTGGAGCCCGGGCTCTGGGACTCCACCAAGGGGGTGGGTCTCAGAAACTGGGCTCCAGCCGGAGCCTGAATGTCTACACTGGTTTTAGCCCCGTGAGCCTGAGCCAGCTGATCTGGGCTCTAAGTTATCGCAGTGTAGACATATCCAAGGATACGCTCACAGGTGGGAAAAGAACCCAGGAATCCTGACTTCCAGTTCCCTGCTTTAACCACAAGACACCACTCCCCTCCCAGAGCCAGGGATAGAACCCAGGAGTCCTGGCCCTCAGCCCCCCCGTTGTAACCCATCCTATCAGACCCCCTTTCCCCCTCCCAGGAATAGGACCCAGCAGTCCTGAGCCCCAGTCCCCTGCTCTAACCACTGGTGGATTGCTCTCTTCGGAGTGAAATAAACACGGTGGATGCCCATTAGGGCTGCTGCCCCCCCTCAAAGTTCTGGGGGCTCCAATGGGATCAGAGAGATCACCCCCATTTCTGGTGCTTTTCCAACTCAGACAATTGGGGTGGAGACCCAGGAACAAAGTCTCTTGCACATGAGTCGTGTGGGAGCCAGCCCAGCCCTCTGAAAGCTTTGAAACGAGCACTGTGCTGCTATGGGGCCAGGTAGCACTCTCTGACTGGCAATGAACATGGGGACATCGCTCCCCGGGAATGAACATTAACCCACTGAGCCCACCTCCCCAGCCATATGTGCACCACCAGAGGGTGACACAGTCACACCGCTGGGGTCGGCATCAGCAGGTGATGCTGTCAAGGCTTCTGATTGTTTTCTCTGAGTGCGCGAGCAAGTTTTGAGTCTTGGGAAGACATGCATTGTAGTAATACGGGGTCTGCGTAGAGGCAGCTTGAGCAGAGAAGGAGTGTGTGAGCAGGAAGAGAGATGATCTGCTCTGCCGTGGGCTCTAACTGGAGTCACTTCTCAAGGCTGAGTTGCTCCTGGGAGCTGAACGCTGCCCTTCGGTTGAGATCGCTGGGAGAAGGGACTGCCCTGCATGCTGACTGACCATCTCAGTTCAAAGACTGCGGCATGCACGTAAACAAGTCACCCTAACAACACAACCAACACTCCGTGTCACTAATTTCTCCTCCAATGGGAAGGCTGGGGACAGAACCCAGGAGTCCTGACTCCCAGCTGCCCTGCTCTAACCACTAGATACCACTCCCCTCCCAATGCTAGAGATAGAACCCAGGAGTCCTCCCAATCCCCCACCCCCATGCTCTAACCACTAGACCCCACTCCCTTTCCAGAAGGCAGACCCAACAACACTCATGTCACCCCAAGAGTTAATGTTTCCCATTTAGCCCCCGCTGTTCTCCATAGGATTTCATACCGCAGGCTGCGTGCAGCTCAGGCACGCTGGGGCTGGCAGTGTCTGCAGGCCAGCCCGCAGCCCCGGAGCTGTGCTTAGTCCATGCCAGAGGCAGCACTGAAGAGGTTAATACAGAGGCTGGAGCCCTGGGTTAGGGAGTACAGGGCCAGGCCAGCTGCCTCCTGGCAGGGTTAAATGTCAGGGAAGGCAGAGGCTGTGGAATTACCCCTGGATCCGGTCCCAGTGCTGCCAACACTGGCATTGCTGTCCCCCAGAGCTGGCCAGCAAAGTCTCCTGCAGAAGGAATTAATCCTTCAGGGCCAGGTGCCCCATAAGTAATGTTGCCTGGCGTCAGGATACCCAGGGACCATGGCACTGGTGAGAGGGCTTCCCTGCCCAGCAGGCACCTGGGCACAGTGCTGTGCCTTAGGGGAGCAGTTAGAGGCCCCATTGTGCCAGACCCTGAGTGAGAGAGAGTCCCCAGCACTCACAATCTAAATAGACCGGGGAGGAGAAACAGAGGCACTGAGCGGGACTGGACACCGGTGGCTCTGAATGTATGGGGCACCCCAGCACAGAGAACCCCCAGGTCCCTGGGGGAGGCAGTCAGCTGGATGCCATGATTCCAGAAGATGGGCTGTGGCAGCTGTGCACCCCACAGGCCTGCTCAGCCTGCCCTGGCTGGGGACATCTAGGAAATGGTCAGAGGGTGCATGGGGTGAAGGGGGTACCCAGGGGCTGCTGCTTCCCTCTGCATCCCTGGCTCGTCCCTGGATCCTCTGTCCTGGCACCCCCTCCCCCCACCAGCTTCACCACATCAGTGGCAGCACAGCACAACAGGCTGTTCCCCAGAGAAGAGGCCCCACAGTGCCTGATCTGCTGGCCACCGCAGGAACAAATGGGCCATTGTGGGGAGGCGGGGGAGAGCAGCTTGCAGGGGACAGGCTGCCTGTGCCAGAGGCGCCTGCAGGGACCACACAGCCCAGCATGGCTCAGGGGCCAGAGTCCAGCCAGGTCTCTGCCCCCTCCCCCGCAGCGCCAGTTCACCCCCCCTCTACCCCCACCCCACTCTGCCAGCTCACCCCACATCCGCCTCCCTGCGGTGCCAGCCCACCCCCTCTCTTCCCCCTCCTTCACTGCTCCCAGCCCCCTCCACTGTGCCAGCTCACCCCGTATCCCCCTCCCCTGCAGCATCAGCCCATCCCCTCCCCCACTGCCAGGCCACCCCACTGCCCCTCCCCCACTGCTCCATGCCCCCTCCCAGGCCACCCCTTCCTGCCTCCTCCCCCACTGTGCCAGCACATCCCTCCCTGCGCTCTGACCCCTTCTTGCTGCCGCACCAGCCAAGGCCCTGCCTGCACACACACACACCCCCCGCAGGCTCCCCTGCCGTCCAGGACCCTGGAGCCAGCCTAAGGAGGGGAGGGCTCAATGCAGGTGGGGGGGGGGAGGGGGCACACAGGGAGGAGCCTGTGCCTAGTACCCCACTGCCTCTTGTGGCTTTCCTTTTGCACAAGGCCGGCAGGTTCCCTCTGCTGCCAGGACACGAGGGGACAATCGCCCGCCTGCTCCACGGCCTCTCAGCTCTAACTGGACAGGAGAGCGAAGCCAGGCTGGTCAGTTTCACATTCCTCTCTAGTCAGTATGGCTAGAAGGGACCACAAGCAATCCCCAGGCTCTGCTGGTTAGGCATGGACTCGCACTGCCCTGGCTGCCCACGGGCTAGCCCAGCTAGGTCTCCTCCCAGTGGGGAGACAGTCCCAGCTCCAAGTATGAGGGACCCTCAGCCTGGCAGCCATGGCCCCTGTCCAGCAGTGGGACACCTGGGAAAAAGGCACTGCTGCTCCCCGAGCTGGGCCCACTTCTAAAGTGGGGATGGGGGTGGGGGTCCAATCCAGGGGTCAGTGACACACTGCTGAAACCAGGTGTGATAGTACTGCAGCAGATACAGGAACTGGAAGCAAACACACTTAGGTGGGACTGGGGACACTGACAGCCAGCGCCCCTGCCCGTGTCCCACAGCGCCCCCTGCTGGGAGAGGCTGAGGCCCCACAGCCAGTGCTCCTGCCCCACTCCCCGCAGTGCCCCCTACTGAGAGAGGCTGGGGCTGGAGAAGCCAGCAGCTCCCCCACATATCACAGTGAACCCTTCCCTGTCCCACGCTGGCCATTTCCCCTTTGGTTCAATCCTGCCTGACACCGGCTGCTCAGGGACTTGACTGGGAGCATTCAAGGACTGGCATCACGTGAGGTAACCCAGCAACCCCACGCTGCTGCTTAGCAACTATTCTGGAAACCGCTCAAAAGGCAGCCCCCCTCCCCCCCCACATACCTCTTTAATGAGTTTCTGGCTGATGGACAAATTAGTGGAAAGGGCAAAGGCCTCCCGGAGGCCTCCGCTCTCAGTGCGGCAGCACCCTGCCACTGATTGCCCCAGCCACCTCATCTCCCAGGAGGGAGGACACAGAGCCCTGTTTTGGGCTGCACCCCAGCTCCTGTGTGCTGCCCTGGCCGTGGGAAGGGGCCAGAACTGGACCGATCTGCCCAATGGCAGGGTACCCTGGGGTGAGGGGTGCTCTCTGGCATAATGGCCTCATGCCACCCTCCCTGGCAGCTCCCAGTGCTGGGGGGGGAGGGAGTCAGAGCAGTCCATAAGGGCACCAGAGCCCTCCCCGGCCCCCAAGGGCACCAGGGCCTGCACCGGCCCCCGAAGCCAGGAGGCACCTCAGTGCCGAGGCCAGCGAGCACCAGGCCCCTTGGCACGCTGCGTGGGGGATCAGCACTGAGCCCAGGCACTGCTGCAGCCCAGCCCATTGCCGTGCCCCAGCTCCTTAAGCGCCCTGGGCTCCTGGTGGAGCCGGGGTCAGCGGTCATGGGGCAGCAAGAGGCTGTCCGGAGCTGTGCCTGGGGGGGTGGGGGGTGGGCTGCACGGCTTCCACTCATTCCACAGCATCACCCCTGTGAAGGCCCCTTTCTTCCTGCTGCTGAGAGGGGCCGGCTCCAGCCCTCCAGGCCCCTCTCCAGAGAGCTGTAGCAGCAGGGCCAGCCCCACCCCCACCTGCCCCAGGAGGGTCCTGTAAGGAGCAAGAGGGGAAGATGTCTCCACCCCCCAGCTGCTCCTTGGGTTTGAGGCTTCCAGCAAGGGGACAAGGCTGCCTAAAGGGTAGGGGCTGGGGGACACCTGCTACCTCCCACCCCTGAACCCATGTCACATGGTCATTAACCCCTGGGAAATGCCAGGGGTCACTTGCACCTTGGGGTGAATCGGAGAGCAGCTGCTCAGGACTGCACTTCCCAAACCTGGGGCCAGCCAGTCCCCCCTGCTCCAGGGCCGGATCAGAACTGGGGACCTGGAGATGAAAAGGTCCAGATCCCCTCCTCGAGCCAGCCAGCTCCCGAGACATATACATGTCCCAGCAGGGCAGGGTGTACAGGCTGGGCTGGGGGTAACCCCCTTTCCTCTTGCTTTGAAAATGTAACCCTGAGTCCTTCCAAAGATGGGGCAATCACAGGCTGGGGTGTGGGCAAAGGGGGAGAGTTCACATCTCCTTGAGCTGAAATCCAGATCCTACCTGAGGAGCTGTGTGTGTGTGGGTGGGGGGGGGAGGGGGATGATGGGGGAGGTGACCCAAGTTATAGCCCTGCCCCCACCGCCAGATGGGAAGGCAGCTGCTCCCCCAGCAACATCAACCATCCACAATGAATGGGGCAGGCCAGGCCCCCACACAGTGGGGCGTCCAGCCAGGCTGCAGAAGTCCAGCTCCCGGGCTGGCCTGCAGCACTGACAGGGTTCATGCGTGCGGGGACAGAGTGCTGTGGATGACGTTGCTGCCTGCCCGTGGGCATTCCCGGGCCACCAAGGGGGATGCAGCATCTCTGCACCCCATGCTCTCTCTACAGCGTCAGCTGGTGCGGAGCTGGCCCAGTGTCAGCCTGGCAGGGGTGAGGGGCACTACACGCTACTGGGAGGCCTGGCATGGCTGTAATAAGAATTCATCGCAAGCCCCCACCTGCCCCTCAGGTTGGACAGAGCATTCGCTTCGCGTAGGCTGGCTCTGATCCAAGCCAGAACCCCACAAGAAAGGCCCTCCTGGTGCCATACACGGCCCAGCCCAAAGCCCCATAATCCCTCCCAGAACTCTGCCTGCTGGGGGTCACCCGCGTAAGCTGCAGCCAAGCCCTGAGGGCCGGATCCCCAGCTGGCACCAACCGGCACAGCTCTGCTGAAGTCACTTTACAGTTACCCGCGGCTTGGCCTGCTGGGGATCTAGCTCCCAAGGCTGCTGCTAGGAATCCAGCCTGAATACTGATCACAAAAGCCTACGCCAACGCCACTCCCTAATGCCACCCCGCATGCTGCAGGGCATGGCGGGACAGCTATGGGAGGGCAGCTTTTGTTTCCAGGAAAATACACCTTCTTCTGTCTCTGGGACTGGAGGCTTTAATGTACCGTACTCACCAAACATGGAGTCAGAACCTGATCCTGGTTACCCTGGCCGAAATCCAGAGTAATTCCACTGGCTGGCTCAGGATTTGCACCTGCTGACGTAACCGAGATCAGAATATGGCCTGGACTCCTCGGCAGTCAGCAGAGCAACAGGATTTATGCCAGTGGCGGCTGATGGCGGAAACCGTCCTGTGGGAATCTGTCATTCATCACTGCGTCCCGTATTGTTTAACTCGGGCGTGGGTTTCCGGATACAGCTTGGATAAGAGATGCCAAAAGGGTTCCGCGCAACCACCTGTCTCACAGGGCGCGGGGAGGTGCAGCCCACGAGACACCCCTACAGATCCAACCGGGTCATTCACACACACACCCTCCCCGAGGCCTGGTGGCAGGATGGGGATCCCATGGATCCACGTGCTCCGGCCGGGACCTCTTTCCTCAGACAGCGCCTGGGCCGCGCTGTGCTTACCTTGGAAGGACAGTCTGAGCCTGGGGTGGGGGCCAGCCATCCTGCCCCATCCGCCCAGGATCCGGAGCAACAGCAGCAGCAGCGCGGGGATCATGGTCACTTTTCCAGCTCCTCCGCAGGCTGGACTCTGAGCCTCAGACAGCTGGAAAGGCAGAGGAGCGAGGGAGACAGTGAGCTCAGATTACAGCCCCCTCCCCAAGGCGTGGGGGGGGGGAAGGGTGATTTCAGAGTCCGCCTCAGGGGAGGAGAAATGACCCTTGGCAAGACACACATTCCTCCTGCTCTCCCTGGAGTGGGGCAGGTGGCTGGGAGGGACTTGGGCCAGATCCGTCCAACCCTTGCAGTGGGAGGACCCCACCAAAGCCAGCAGCTGGAAGTGTTTCTGCTCTGGATGAGGGGCCGAGACGGAGACTCGCTCACCCTGCACCTTGCGCAGCTGTTTACACCCAGGCCAGCCCCTCTCTGATCCGGGCACATTGGCACTTGCTTGGTAAACAGCAGGTGGGTCAGATCTGGCATCGGAGCATGCCCACGTGGCCTCCTGGCAGGATCTGCATCTGGCCTGCTGAGAATTGCCACATCTGGGCCAGGAGCCCCCGTTGGGTTCTGCACATCTGGAGCCCAGCTGAGCTGGGCTTATGCGGAACCGACATGGCCGAGCACTAGGGCCGGGCGGGGATTTTGTGACTCATTGTGTTTTGTCAGAAGATGCCAATTCATTGAAACTGGAACTGTACCCGAAGCAGGGCCGGGCTCGGCCAATCTCCCAGCTCGGAAAAAAGTTTCAAACTTGCCATCGGGTTGTTTTGACAGTTTTGAAATGAAAAATTCCAATTTGCTGGTTCAAAGCCACTTTTCCTTTCTAAATTGAAGCAAAGTAGACTAAAAACAAAGATTAAAAAAAGGTGGAAATCATAGAACCACAGGAGTGCAGGGGTGGAGGGGACCTCAAGAAGCCGTCAACTCCAGCCCCCTGTGCTCAGGCAGGACCAAGTAACTCTAGATCAGCCCTGACAGGGGTTTGTCTGACCTGTTCTTAAAAACCTCCACTGACAGGGATTCCACAACCTCCCTTGGACACCTATTCCAGAGCTGAACTACTGTGATAGTTAGACAGTTTTTCCTAATATTGAACCCCAAAATCGCACTTGCTGCAGCTTAATCCCATTACTTCTTGTCCTACTGTCAGTGTCCACGGAGAACAATCTATCCTCATCCTCCTTATAACAGCCCTTAACGTAATGGAAGGTATTAACAGGTTCCCCCCTCTGGCTTCTTTTCTCAAGACTAAACATGCCCAGTTTTTTTAACCTTTCCTCACAGGTCAGGTTTTCTAAACCATTGATCGTTTTTGTTGCTCTCCTGTGGGCCCAGAACCGGACACAGTACTCCCGCTGGGGCCTCACCAGTGCCAAGTAGAGAGGGACAAGGAAATATTTTAAAGGAAACATTTCGATTGACCCAAAATGGAAAAAAAAAAAAATCAGTGTTTCAATTTGCAAATATTTCCGAGATTTCCACTTTTCCTCCTCACTCGAGTTGGGGAAAAAAATGTGAACTCTCAAAACTATTTGCGGGTTGAGGAAACTGCTTCCTGGCCAGCTGCTGTGAACCCCCCTTGCGAAGATCAGCTCAGTTACAACGGAGCAATTAGTGAGGCAGTGCCAACCAGTGGGTAGAGCAGGAGGCAAGGGGTCAGGACACCTGGTTCTAATCCCAGCTCTACCACTGACCTACTGTGAGAGCCAAGGCAAGTCACTTTAGCTCCTACCCCTCAGCTGTTTCGATGATATGCTCTTTGGCCAGGGACAGTCGCTGATGACCCATTTGCACAGCACCTAACACAACAGGGCCAAATTGCAATTGGGGATTAATGTAGCAGCACTGAAAACTCCAGTGCCTGACCTCATATTAGCAACTTGGGCTGAGTTTATTTTTATTTATTTACATATTTTAATGTCAGCCACTTCTCAGCTGTCTCCTTTAAAGTAGGGCCTACAAGAACAGCCAGGTTTTGTGTCATTGAGTGCCCCCTGCTGGTTCGCAGTGGCCAGCGCTGCTCCCCATGCCAACTGAACGCAAACCAGCCAACAAAAGGTCTTTGCATTACAAGCAGCGAGAGACAAAGAGACTGAGCTGGGAATGCAAAGCTGCATGCAGAAGTGGCTATGCAAAGGACAGCGGAAAACTGCCATGCATAACCAAAGGGGATGATGAAACCATTGTATTCCCCAAGGGAAATGCAACATCTGCAGATGGGCTGGAAGGAAGGAGTGAATTGGAGCAGAAAGACCCCTCTGTACCCACTTTGAGCTCAGTGCTGACCCCCAGAGCTAACGGAGAATCGCCATTGAAGGCACACAATCTAGGGCTTATGACATATAGGGGTGCAATTCTGATGTCCTCCAGCAGAGGGCAATGGCGCACATTTGCATTAGCCTCTACATTACTGCATTATGGAGCTGTGACATTATTCAAGCTAAAGCCAGGAGCTTCCTGTCACAGCTCTGATTTGACACAAAGCAATCCCCTTGAAATCCCCCTCCCCAATAGAATTCCACAGGGAGGTTGGGGGGAAAGAGATCAGCAAAGACATCTACACAGCAGGATTTAAAATTGGAACTTGAGCTGCTGCTGCTCCTGGATACACCCTCATGGGTATGTGTGTGTGTGTGTGTGGGGGGAACGGGGATGACAAGAGGCTAGGGGACAAATCCAGAGGGGCAGAGGTCTGGTGGTGAAGCGGGGGGGGAGGGGGGGTGGTCACAAAGATGGTGGCAGAGGCAAAGAGGGCCAGGGTCTAGTGGGGTTAGGACAGCAGGAGACTGGAGGAGTGTGGAGGGGGATTGAAAGGGGAGGGGAGCAGGTGGGGTATTTTGGGGGGCACAGAGGGGACAGGGAAGAGAGAGGATTTATCATAGAATCATGATGATTAGGATTGGAAGAGACCTCAGGAGGTCATCTAGTCCAACCCCCTGCTCAAAACAGGACCAACCCCAACTAAATCTCCTCGTAACTTGACCCACGTTAAGGACTCTAAGGATGAAAACCTGGCCCCACAGCCCCCAGCTTTCACCCCACGTGTTTAAAAACTTCTAGAGAGAAAACTTTAATCCTCACATGTTTCCAGTGTGGATTAAAGCCTATCCCCTCCCCCAAACCGCAGTGGGCAGCTTGGAGGGCAGAAGGGAAGAAAGGGTTGGAGGCTGCTCTGGTACGTGACTGCAGCGGCACCGCCACCAGAACAAACGGTGCATCTGGGAACGTGCTGGCATTCCCCAGCCTCCCACTAAAGCCACTCTAAGCTCAGTGTGACACGGGGCCATAAAGCAAACAGCGAAGGAACCCATTCCTCTCTGGTCGGAGTACAGGCAGCTTCCCTGATGAGCTGAGATCAACTGAGCATCACAGCGATACAGCAACCTGGAACATCTGGGCACTGGGCCAAGAAAGAGCCGGCAATCTAAAGGGACAAGACAAAGGACGGGCAGGGAAACTGAGGCCCAGCGAGGGGACGTGACCTGCCCACGGTCACTCAGCAGATCAATGGTTGACCCACAGCTACAGAGTCCTAGCCCAATGGTCTGTCCACCAGTCCACACCCCCTGGGACTGCAGCAATAGCCCAAGCTCCTTCAGGGGGACCCAGGCACAACCCATACAAGAGGCCAGCAAACAGCCTCTCCCCTCTGCATGGCATCAGACCCAGAGGTACCGGTGCAGAGCCTGCCTGTGAATGTTGGAGGAGCACTTGATTTTAATCTTTGGTTCTCGCTAATAAGACAAGCCACGGGAAATTCTCCAACCCAGCCCTCCATTCAAACCAAGCGAGTTTGGCTGAGCAGAAGCCAGAGGCTGTAATGCTCTCCTGAAACCTCTTTACACTTTCTCTGCCCAGATCCTACCCCTGAAAAAGCCCTCAGATGTCAACACCTGGAAATGCACAATAAAGAGATCCAGGCAGAGTGACGATGCTCGATAGTTTGCCGCACTACCCCGACTCACACTGCTCAATGAGGTGAAACCTGCTCCTTTGCTCTGTTCCGTTATCGCTGCAGTAGGTTACATATTGCTTATTAAACATGTAATAATAATTTCAGAAGGAATACAGTGGGAGCACATTGTTAGGCCAGAGTTCTCTCATGTCACAGGCTGCTGTGTGGGTGGAGAAGAATATTGCTGTGAATGAGCGGTTTGCTGTTATGAAGTGCGTCGATTATATGGCCGTGTAGGTTTTACGTTCACGCCCATTGACCTTGCAAGTCTGTATTTTTAACTACATTGCAGAGTAACTCTTGCATGTCGCTTTCTTGCTAGTGGGGAACGTTATGGGCCTTACCCGGGTAAGTGAACTTACGAAGATTGCTTGCAGGGTGTGGGCCGCAGCCTATTGAGAGCATATCCCTTGAATAGGGTATGAGTCTCAATGAGCTTCCAGGCACTGCTTATTTCTACCTTTGCAAATTTCAGGGGCAGAGTTAAGGTCATGTGGATAGGATGAATGAGGGGACAGGATTGGACGGTGAGGCGGCTGGGTGGGGCAGGCACTGGCTTGGCTGTTCATTTCCAGAGTTTCTAGCATAACGGTGTCAAATTTAGAGTAATATTGCACCAGGGAGTCCGCCGGGCCCCCCTAAACCACAGTTCTAGCCTTAACTCTTTCTTGAGCAAAGTTTTATGGTTGGAAGCACTTGCCCTAGGTTTGCTTTGTCTGCCTCCAGCAAATACCCCGTTCATCCCCAGCCACACATACAATGCCACCCAGTGGCCTCCAGCAGAAAAGCAACCTGTCTGGATTTCATTACCCCTTCGGTTCTCTGGCTGCATTATGCAAGAGATCAGACTAGATCCGCCTGGGCTGAAGGATCTTCGGCGCCGTTAGCAGCACGTGGCTGAGGAGAGTGTTTCATGAGACAGCCTGGGGAATATCAATAATCCGTATGACGTGCAATGTCAGGACAAAAGATGATTTTGAAATATTTCAGTCTCAGGGCTATGTGCCCGGCTGACCCCCCAGCAACCACAGCGTCTGAGCAGCTCAACCCACCACTTTTTACGTATCTACTGAACAACAGGGCAGGGCTCATGCCCCATTTCACAGAGGGAAAACAGAGGCACAGAGAGTAGCTTAGCCAAGGCCACA